TAGAGCGGAGGCAATATTAGACTGAAGATGGTTCTGTTTGATATCAGGCGAGAGAAGCAGGCACCACCGTTACGAATCCAACAGCACGACACACTGTTTTGCCTGCAGGTAAAATGACACAGTGAAGAAATATGGCTGTCTGTGGGTCCGACTGTAGAGCCAGAGAAGAAGACACCAAACAAATGATTGTTTTATACCGAGCTGGTGTTGTGGGTGGAAGTGAGTTACTGTGTGGGTGTCTGGGTGATGATGACAACTTTGTAATTTACATACAAACAAAAAGGGAGACGTGACAATGCACACACTACATTACACTACTACACTATACAGTATTTCATTTTAGCTTTATGCCTTATGGGGCCACAATTTCTGTCTTTGTTATTTTAGTTCCATTCAAATTAAATTGCCTCTTGGAAAATGTTCAATACAAAAAAAAAACAAGACCTCAGGAAAATCAAATCCTGGCCAATTTCCCTGTTGTCCTTCCTCTTTTAGTAAGGTTTTGTTGCTTTTAAAGCCCTACCATCTTGTTATTGACCGTGAAGTTACATGAGGCAGGGTATATTTTTGATGCGATGACGGCAGACGAAGCAAGCACTTATTTATTTGTCATCCATTAATATTTCAGACTAGAAAAGCTTTTACCCACAGCGTGCTAAAAACACAACTTTTTTTTGTGTGTGTTTGGTGCCATATTATACCGTGCCTTGCTGAAATCAAATAGACCAGCATCACTCCTGAAAGACTCTCAGCCCAATTCCACCCCCTTACACTCCAAACACCTGCACTATGCCGACACTGAGTCTACACTTGCAGTATACACATCATCCAAACCTGTTTCCTACCTCAATATCAATATTTGCAGAGGACAATGGTGTCAATCTGAATGAATTCACATCTGCCCCCCCCCCAACCCTAACCCCCTCCCCTCAAAAAAAGCAGACTAATGCAAAGTTTAACACATTTCCATTTAAGGAGAGGATCCCATTTTTTTCAAGTCCATCTTAAAACAATAGTCTCATGCCCGCCGGTATAATCTTTTCCCAACATATCTTCAATTATTCTAGTCTGACCCAATCAAATCATGTGAGCATCTTCCAAAGAAACAGTCTTTTTAGAACAGAATTCCCTCTTTGTGTTTCCCTGGACAGTGTTTACTTGTTCATCCATCATGAAGGGATTTTAACTCTAAGTGTAAGTTTCCAAACTATAACAACACAAATCCAATGAACTGAATTTGATGAACTGATGTGGGATTTGTAGATAAAAATGGCTCATTCTTAAGTAACAACAACACAATTCTTATTTTCAGGTGATTATACACTAATGAAAACATACTTCTAACTATTATATAACATTTCTGTCATAAATTAGGCCAATAAATTCACTTAAATCTTACACACAGGACCTTGAAAATGTTGTGTGTACAGTGAGTGCAGAGTTAATACAATCAAAAAAGACCAATACTGGCAGACATTGTCTCGTGACAATCCTACAAAACAACAAATTATTTTGTGTTTTTAGTTGTACGTCCAATTCAACATGCTTGCCTTCTGCAATATCTGCAAATGACTAAAACTATAGTATGATTAATGTTAAGGAAAGACTGGGGCAATGGTAAATAATCTACAGTTAGAGTATGGTTATGGTTAGGCTATTAAACACTTATGGTTAGGGACAGATCATGGTTACACAGTTAATACTGAGACATGAGAACTAAGTCTGTGATGCCTTCCTCCGTATATGGGCACACCATGTCACTGAATGTTGGAACAGGACATAAGTCGTCCAATATGGACCAAATTCCTAGGGATACTGCCTTTCTAACTGAACACGCATGTTGTATTGGCCATGATATTAAGGTGACAAACAACTACACTGGCTGAATTCCTGTGAATACAACATTGAGAGCAGGAAACATGCATTAAAATCTGGCACAATGGCTCAGCATTGTCGTCTTACAGCATGTTGGCATCCACAGTAAGACAGACTGTGAGCAGCAACTTATCAGAGCTTTATTCAGTTGCTCAGTGTCTGAGCCAAACAGAGAAGTTTGTAAGCTGAGAAAACTTGGCCAAAGACAATAATTCAGCAGGAAGAGATTTTTAACTTCACTACTATTTCGACCTGATTATGTTTTGGAAACATTAGGGTTTGGCAAGTAGAAATGTGGATAAATTAGAGTAATTAAAATGGTATGATAGGAAAAACAATGCTTTCAGATCAGCTGCATGCAGACTGTTAGACCGTTTTTTCTGGATGTAACTTGTGATACTTTCAGCCTTTGTTAGTTAAATACACAGCTTCTCCATCACACACATGTTGCTCACAGTGCAAAAATACTAAAATAAACCACCTTTATTCATCTACTACCTGTGGTGGACTGTCAGCCTGTTCAGAAACCATTCAGTGTCTACCTGCCCTTTGCCAGTGCATGCTGGGATGGCCTCCAGACCTTCAGAACCGTGCAAAGACCTATGTTGACAATTTATGAATGACACGCTGGCAAGTTTTGTTCCATTCAACAGCACAATTCTAAAACACCCCCAGGAGATGGAGCTCAACTGAGCAGCAAAACAGACCTCAGGTACACGTTGAAGTGAAAATATAAGTGTAATTTTAAAGGCCAAAGAAGTGGATAGGAGACCTCAAAGAACCCGAGACCCCGTTCTTTGTGAGGTAGATAAAAGATTATCCAACTTCTCTCTCTACACATGCTTTCCCATTATGGAGAATGATTACACACAATTGGCTACGCAGCAACACCATCTGCTGTAGATGACTGACACAGAGACAGAGGTTCAGTGTTGTGGTTCATATAAGGACTCATATTTTTACACTCTGACACGGTGAAAAATCAAGATGGAAGGAAGACAAAACAGATAGCATCAAATTAAGGCAATTTAAAGTTTTGGAATTCTTTAATAAATCCATTATTTCTGCTTCGTGGTTTAACATTCTGCTCCCATAGCTGCAAAAGAATTAGCATCAAGCACCACAAACTTGAGACATTCATTGACCAAAATGGTTGACATACAACTGACACACATGCAGTGTTTGTGCAACGGTTGAGTGGCTTTTTTGCTGTCATGTTGCTTCATTTTAACAACAACACTGACTGTCGGGTGGGCCATCGCGTGGAACGGATAGCACTTCCGATGGGTTCCTACACGAAGCTTCCAGCACACAGCTGGCTTACAAATCGTGTTCTCCTTTGTTTATTTGTATGTAAAATATTCTATCTAATCTAACTTTATCTATTCACTGGTACTTCTTTTTCCTACGTGGTGTTTCTTCTCACAGATGGGAATTTGAATATGTGCCTCTCTCAGTGTGTTACGGAGTGACAAGGTGTGTTGGGAGTTTTCCTGCCTTTCATCCAAGACATGCTGGGAAGGCTCCAGTTTCCTCCCTGACCCTGAGTAGTAATAAGCAGTCCTATCATGCATCCTAAGAATGAAAACACTGGAAAAATTGGTCAGGTGAGAACAATTCCAGTGATCCTGACGTGACAATCAACACACCAACTACAAAGGACCCGTATTTATCATACGGTTCAAGGGGAAACTCCACCGATTTTACAATCAATGTCTGTTTACAGATCTTAGGGAGTGCTACTGCATATGTAAAAACAGTTGTATGGAGTTTTTGGTGGCTCCAGAAGGAAGTAATGTCACTGGTGTCGGTTATGTCTGAAGACTACAAGTTAGAAAATGGAAGAAATCTGGAGGTGTGGAGTTAGAAAGTAGACCTCTCTCTTCTCGAGACTAGCAGCTAGAGGCTACAATAGCCGCTACCAGCATAACACACATAATCTCAGACGGCACTGTTGGCTGTCGAGTTGCATTTTGGGAAATGTAAGCCATGTTTTGACAGTAAATATTGATGTGTGGAATAAAGAAGATGATATCTCTGGTTCTGCTGCATCAATTTGGATATTTTATAGGAGTGTAATGCTAAACTGGTGTACTCTTTTAAAGTAAAATTTCACTCAAATTCAAGTGACATATAACAGCAAAAATCCTTCACTTACTCCTATTCGCAGAGTTCAAGATAAAAGCTATTTATAATATATTCAGAAATCTTCTGTCTGTAAAATGTTCTGGAATTTGAGAGAACACTAGACGTCTCCTAAACTGGCTAGGAGAAGCCTGTGGGGGGTTTAAGATGGCTGCCATGTGAAGACAGACACAATATCTGAGACGTGTTATTGCAATAAAGCATGGCTCACCATGAATAACATCTGAAAAAATACGTATAACTTAGAACTGTGCAGTTTTTGGCTTAATATTTTCAGCTGTTGTTTTCTCATTAGCTGTTCGGCTCCAAAGCACATTATAGGATGTTATGCCACTTTCAATGTTGGCACTTGACGTTGTGCTATTAAACTCCCTGTTATTATAACAGAAAAAACAGTCTGGATTTGTAGCCAATTTACTATTATTTCATCTCTATTTATGTGATATTAATTGTTTATTGCAACAAAACAGACAAGTATGTTTGCAGATATCCCTTGGAAGATGTAAGTTTAAAAAAAAAAATAAAAAATGAACCATTGGGTAGATGCAGGTTATATTCTAGTCTCTGATTGGCTGTTGCTCTCTAGGCATACATGTGATCAATTAGAGCTCTTGTTAAAGGTTACTCCTGTAGAAGTTTGATAGATATGGGCTTAGGTTTTTGTAGTCAGAATCAGTCCCAAAATGCAAGGATATAAGGAGGCAGATGTTGACATTTGATAGCCATGTGTAGCAAAGTCTTTCCTGGTATAATAAAATGGACTGAGGGTAATCTGCAGTCTAGACTAATTTTCATTCTCAGATGTTTTTTTTGTGTGTGTTCTTAACTGATATAATCAGCAGAGAGGAAATTACCACAAAGAGCACAAAGAGGCAAGTTCATCATGTTTCGTTAAACAGTCCCATTCTGCCCATTTGTGAGTCCATGTGACTTTTGGCAGCGTGGACCTGAATGAACAAATAATAAAAAAACTAAACAAAGAAAATGAAATGCACCTTTAATTGCACCAAAAAGAGGTTCATTAAAACTTCCCTGGTCCTCCTATTGTTCTTTTCTTTGTAGGCATTTTAAGTGAGGTGGAATAAAACACAGCATTTAAATATCCCATGGACAGAAACATTTGAATGCGTTCACTAGACTAAACACTCAGCACTAAGTACATCTGTCATAACATATGTTCTGCATCCACCGCTTTCTTTTCCACAAAGCACATTATTGGCAACAGGAAAATTCCTGACTGACCTGCCAGAAAAAGCCAAAATGGATTGAAGGAGAACAAAGAAAATCCTGACCGAGAGAGAGTCGTTTTCTTAAATGTTCTTTTGCTTAAACTCACCGCAGACAGTGAGCAAGAGTTCTGCAGTTCTTGGGTGAAACAGACAAATGCAGTTTTGTGGCTCATGTGGCTCAATGTCATGAAATGTGGATACACTGTATGTAGTCTTTTCAGTCAAAAATCTATTTTCAAATCACAAACGACATGCTAAAATAAATTGATTTTATTGTGTTGTGGAGGTACTCAGTCAGGAGGTTTTTAATCTGGTGCAATGTGCTTATGTAAACATGCTAAAAATAGAAAATATAAGGTTAAAAGAAAGTGTACTGTTTATAGTGCGTACTGATTTTGGACATATGGAGATAATGTTACTCTCTCATTTCAGCACATTTACAATGGGCATACTGCAAGACGTTTAAGCAGAAATGATTAAAATATGGGTTAGATTCAAAATTGTTTGACTGTGTGAAATTAGAGCATGTAAAAACAATATAAATCATGTCACTTTTTGAGGTTAAGTTTAGTCTTACATCTTAGATTGAAACAATCTTAACATCTTTTCTTCCATTAACATTTTAAACATATTCAGCACACATTTTCCAGTGACTGTAATTCTAATATATTCAACACTAGTAAGGGTTTTGGCAACATGCGTATGTGTGTGTGCATGAGTATTTCTTTTCTCATTGGTGTAATAGTTAAGATGCATAAACCATTGTGAAACAGAGGAAAAAAGTGAAAAAGCACCAATATAACTGTATCAGCTCTTTAAAAACCTTAACGACATATCTCTCTACACGTATATTTGACGGTGGTGCTCGGTGACCCAAGACACATTGCAGTATTCTCCCAAAACAGTATATGTAAAATAACAACCTGACATAACAGTTACAGTGTTTGTACGTCCAGGTCACTTTCCTACATTTATGTATTGCACATACTCACCAGTGCCTACGACTCATGGAGACTTTTTCTGTAAATTAGAATGTGTAGTGGAGTGCCCTGTTGTTGTGAGTGAATTAAGGTCCACTGACTCATTAACGCAACACACCGCTGTCGACTACTGATAAGATTTGTGAGGAAAACTGTAAACCCATCCAGTGGCTCAAAAATAAAATGTCCACAGTAAGAACCCCCTCCAAAAAAAACATATAGTATGCAGTGGACACAGGCAAGGTCAATCATACCTTTTAGACTTTAACAAGTACTTTGAATTAATTTTGTCCTCATGTTTGACTGTTTTGTTGTCACAGTTGTTTCAGTGAAATTGGTGGAAATGTGGTTGTCGGCCCCACTTCACACACAGTCTCAGAGTGCCCCCTTGTGGTCAAACAAGTGATTGTCCTCTCCCAACGGAGTGCAACAAGTGTCTGCTCTGTGTAAAACATCCAACCTGAATATGTTACTGATAATTTCGCTGATCACTCCCCCTTTGGTATTTTACGTTCCTTCTTTCCAGAGATGAATTCTGGCATTGCTTCTGGAAGACAAGCAATCCCCCCCCGAACGGAGTGTCCTCACTGCCTTTTGCTGTCCAGGATGGCCCTCCAGTCGTCCGACCAAGATAGGAGCCGTCTCTGGGAGGGGCTGCTGGAAAGGTGCTTGTTGTGGCAGGCGGTAAACAGGATGTGCTCCCATGTTGGTTTGGGCTCCACGCCTGATCAGGAGACATGTTAGTCAGAAACATTACATCAGGGACAAACACACTTATTCTACAGTGTACAGTGTACAAACCCAGCAGATCTGGCCTAACGGCGCACACACTGTGGCAGCAGTCTTAAAAGGTGCAGACAGGATTATAAAATCCTCTTCCTTTCATTTTTATTGCCTTCCTTCCTCCTTTAAATCTTTAAAATACACTTCTGTGTGTGCTGAACGCTACGGAGCCCCTAAAGGGACATGGGGAAAAAAAAGAAAAAAGAAACGTTTCTAGTGCGCACTAGATATGGATCGGGTGTTGTGGCGAATCAACACTCATTTGAATATTAAAATGAGCCAAAAATACCTCAGCTGCAGTCTTCAGATCAGAGAACTTATAGAATATTGTATTTCCGTTCGATAAACCCCTCCCTCAGAACAGGGACTGTCCAATCATAGCTTAGCAACCATAGTTAGGCATGGCAGGATTTGTGAATCTTTGGATTTCTCCACATGCTGAAGTGGTGTACATGGCGCTGTATTAAGTCTGCTACTCAGCATTCAAAGTGTTTGGAGGGTTGTGTCGTTTTTTTTTTTAGTCCTCACAAAGTCAAAGACACATGGGAAAAGTGAGAAACGATTGCATTAAAATGTGTGTTTGTCCCGGCACTGAATCCCAAGTTGCTCCCCAGGTGCCAATGGCTGCCCACTACGTCTCGTATAAAGGACTGGGTAAATGCAGAAGATAAATATTGTTTGCCTCTCTATGCAATCAAAGACCTGTTGTTTAATAATGACTAAGAATTTTGAGTAGTAAATCTGCCACCATTATCACTGGAGACGGCATATGTGACGTGCCAGAGGGGTGGAGCTTAGCAAATGGTCAGTTATTTGAGATTAGGGATCTCATCGATATCAATAGTACAATACAGAAGGTATTATAATAATGTTATATATTGAAAGTATTGTAATCATTTGTCATATAAATACTATATTAAATGTGAATTAGCTGCCTTTTTGTTATTGTGACGAGATCAATGCTGCATGTGCACACACAAACACATGTACAGTTCTCATGTTCTCACCTAGAATGTCAGGCTTGTCGTCTATTAGAATGTCTCCGGTGATTAATGTCTTGTCTCTGGTCAGGATGACCTGTTCCAGAAAATGATGGCCCAAATGCTTCTCTACCCAGGCATACTGGACACACACACACACACACACACACACACACACACACACACACACACACACACACACACACACACACACACACAGCAGATGATATCTAATTAGAAGAAGGAAAAACAGAATAGATGTTGGTGATTGACAGAGAAGCTGCTTACCTTCTCATACGGGCAGTGTTGGTAATGGTTTATAGGGCTGGTGCAAATAAAGACATCTGTGCTGTGGAAAGAAAGGGAAACAAGACCAGAGTGGAAAAAATGTAAACATACAAACATTTCTGTATTCCATCTGCTGATACCTGACAAACACACTGGCTCCTTATAACGGGAATTAATATTGGAGACGGGCAGTGGACCATCCCTGGTAGGGAAACAAACAAGTAAAAAACAAAAGTGAAAACACCATATGGCAGAGTGCCTGATAAGAAACAGGTTCTTTCAGGCACTGGTGGCTAAAGAAACACATTCATTTCCACCAGGAGAGGAAATGTAAACATACAATTTCATAACTATGTTGGCTATTTTTAGACATTATTCCACTGTGTTTCTGAGAATGCTACCGGAAATAGCATTCACAGCCTCCTTTGTGTTGACTCAGATTACACTGGAGTGAAATATCTCACTGCAGATGCCAGTTACAGGATGCTTTCACAAAACACACAAAGTGGAGTGCACCAAAAGCATGTGGCCGGTGCTACGGAGAATCACAGCTCTAACTACACTGATAGTGAGAGCTCAGGACTGAAGCTACTCATATCACACAACATGTACCATCTTTAAATATATTGCCTGTTGGAATGAATAACTCTATAGTAGGCATGTGTATTGGCAAGAATCTGGCTACAAGATATGTATCACAATACACAGGTTACAATTCAATATATTGTGATATATTGCAAATTCATTTTAAAAACTTTTTTTTAGGAAAACTATCATAGTATAAAGAACACGCCACCATATAAATAAAGTCTGCATTTAAAAAAGTTGGAATGTGCATTTGTATTTATCACAGTACCTGTATAATCCATCCATCATAGCCCTCAGTTTGCATTTACAACACAGCTATCGAGCAGTTGGGGGCTTAAACACAAAAATTGTGGGTTTTTGAGAAATGGTTACAATATCACAAAATAAAATATCACGACACGATATTTTTCGATATTTCCTAACACGCATAGACAGATTTATTTACATGTACCGAGACCTGGTGATCATGACCAGTACAAACACTGAATAAAGCTGTTCCAAAAAGGCTCTAGACGTCTGATGACTAAAATTCTTTATCCAGCTAAAACAATCTAAAAAGTGTATTGTAAAAATGCTATTTAAAACTGGATGAAAAGTCAATTTATGACAGCTACTGGCAGACAACAAACACAACAATGACATATTCGCAAAGGGTATATGATCCCATTTAAAGGCGACCAGTGAAACGCACCATTACCTGAATAAAATTTTATTTCTCTGGGTTTCTACATTGTTGGAAACATTGGGATAATGTAAGTACACAACTCAAAAAAATATTTAACATATAGCTATCAGCAGCATTAAAATGGCCTTAAAATAACAATATATGTAACAGCAGTAGGAGAGAAACCTCATCATGCACACAGCACCGACCTGTCTATACCCAATACATAACACCAATAAGCAGACATGGTGCCCTGCTTTGTGATTTCCTTTTCGCTGACAAATTATAAGTGTAACATGACACAGTTTCCCTCCATCCATCAGTCTGACTCTGCACCACCATACAGTATTGATCACAGCATCTGCAATATGCATTAAACATCCATAAATAAACAATAGTGAGTAGGAGTGTGAGCATGTGTCTAACCTTAAACAGTGTTCCTCCTCACCATCCACCACCTTACCACCTTATTCAAATTCAAGGCTCTCGCCAGATCGCTAGATGCAAATTAGTCATCTTTTCCACCCACCACTGTTTGTGCAGTTTGAGGCACAAAATCAGCTCCTGGTGTCCATCCCTCCATAAGCTCTCAGTCATTCTAACCTTAGATGAGAAATCACTCCCCGAGCCCGCACTGTCTTTGGGGAAAGTGCTTTTTAAATCATCTTGGTATGAGCTACAGTCACCTTAAATTAGATGAAGCCTATTAACCCTAACCCCTAACCAAGCCTGTTTTTTTATTTTATCTAAACTTTATGCTGCTGTCTTGGCCCTTTGTAAAAGAGATTTGGAATCTCAATGGGAATAGACCAGGTAAAATTAAAGTAAAATAAATGCGTTGTCTACCCTCCACATTCGCACACATTACAAGATGATGTTGCACAGGAACCAGTGTATATCACATTTTACCTGCAGCCAAATCAGTTTAAATATTAGATAAGTGAACTGCATCTTCAAGACCTACTTATCCATCTTGGCCATCTCCTTAACCGCCTCCACTCCTCCTGGCAGCGCTTCCAGTTCTATGAAGAAGTCCTTAGACTCCCAGATACTACTGGCTTTTTCCTGGAATCAACAAATAAAAACAAAAAATATATAAAACACACATACACACACTAACACAGCTTAGTATAAGTGTACATTGATAAGGTGATTGTATGTGTGTGCGTATCCACGTGAGCGTACATGTGCTCTGAAGGAAGTCCAAAAGGCAACATTTTCAAGGTCAGCTAGACACTCGTTGTCCAGAAGCACAGAGAAGCTGATATTTGAGCGAGACTGAACTGTACAGCGTTCTTGAATGTTTTATTCATGAAAAAGCAAAGACAAGGAAAAGATCTTTGAGGTCTATTTCTTCATCTGTCCTCATGCTTAACACGGACATTGTACCCCTGACCTGGTTTATGATTTAGTGTCATATTTTATCAATGTTACATAACATAAATTATATATATATTTTAGATGGCTTTTAATATCCCCCCCCCCAAAATTGGGATGAGTAGGCAATTTTCCCATCGTCACACAGACAGATTCATTTAGTATTATGCCCTATCGCTACTCCAAAGTTGGATAAATGTGTTTCCACAGAAACAACTCTAAATATTAAATGCGACGTTCACTCTTGACTGTGAAAATAACCTTAGGGTGTCTTAAAATACTGTAAATGACAGGCCCGTGACAAATCAACTGGATTTAAAGCAATACAGAACAACTAAAAAATTCAAGATTTGAATGGTTTAGAATGGTATAAAATAATGTGGTCATTAGGATCTATTTCCACTACAGTTTGTCGTTTTAAGATGAGATTGAGTAGAAAAACTTTGTGGTTGAACTGGTCAGCACTGTGCAAATGCATACCTGTGGCATTTGGAAGGGGGTTGCATACTAGGCACTGCTTTAATTCAATGCACCACAAGCAAAATAAGGTTGTCACCTGCTGATCTGTATAGTTCAGTAAATAATGTCTGTGTCTGAGGGCCCATCCTGTTGATTAATACCAAACTGCAACTGCAAACTGCAGAAAGAGCAAGGCCTGTCACTTGTCATTCTAACACAGTCTCTAAATGGCATACATTCCTGTTTAAAGACTACTTCACTGGGAACCCCATTGGGACCAGCTCAGGGGCCTCTGCTTCTGTGCAGGACTGCAAAAGTGGACTTGAGGAACTATTTTTGTGCACAGGTATGCGTGTCACTTACACACAGGTCACTCCTCAGCTGCCCATACTGCGTCGACACCCAAAACCCCCTCCTGTCATCCAGGGTGATGTAGGGCTCGTTCGGGTACCTGGCCCGGTACTTCTTCAAGAACCCGCCCTCGAAGTCCGCCAGGACCCCGTCCATGTCAACCAGAACCCGCAGTCTCTTACCCGAGGCAGAGGAGGACGACATGTTAACGCAAATCCTCTTACACGGATCACGGAGCAAGGTTGTTCCTCTTCCGAGTAGGCGTGTTGTACGGGACAGTAGGGACATCGTTGACTGTTGACTGAGTGCTGCAACAACGGTCACTGCCGTTAACCCTCTCCGAACGACGACTGGAAACAGTGGAGAAAGTCCGCATGAGAGTCGAAAAGTTTTCCAGATACTGCGGCCGTTAAAGCGAGTTGTTTTCAGCACTTAGCATAGGTTGTGCTGTTATTTGTATTTTCGTCAAGTTTAGTTTCACTGTTAGCTCAACTTTATCATTCTGGGCGTTTCTCTGCTAGTCAGCTGCAGTTGAGCTAACGGTAACGGTCGGTGGCTAACTTTAGCTAAAAGGCTAGCCGCACAGCAGCGGGCAGGTCAAATGTGACATGCCTTTGGTCACAGTGTAACTGGGAGCTGTTTGCATCGTTTGTCAGTGTGTATTACCCACAGCTTGTCTCTCAAACCCACAGCATCTGCTACAGTGGCTGCTGGAGCAACCTGAACCACAAGGAGTAATGCACAACTGGCACTGCAGCAGCAAGGGGAGAGGAGCTCTCAGCACTGAGAACAAGCTCTACAAGGCTGCTCGCAACAAAGATATTTTAGGTGAACAGGATGGCTCACTCCTCTGTTGTTTTCAATGCGTGAGAGCCAAATCCAGTCTCAATGAGCTTATTTTACAATATTGCGCATTTTTCAACAAAAAGAAAGAAAAACGTTTTATAACCACCATTATTGTTTTTATTGTTATATGAGATAGTCAGATTAGTATAGGCATGGTACAGTCGGCTATTTCTGTCTTAATGTGACAGTAACCAATTCTGAATGGATAAAGTGCAAAGTGCATTTCTAAAAGTGATTGATTGGACTGACAATGTAGCATTCTGCATCCTACAGTGAACCTTTTAGGGATATCCCAGCTGTACATAAAATACATGTTTATTTGAAAATGTGCCAAAATAAAAGTTTTTTTTATATATTTCAGTTGTTGTGATGTTTATTTTTGCATTTACATTTACCAACAATCAAAACTACAATACATTACAGTTATGCTGTTGGGAGCTAGACATATAGTGGTACAACAATCACACAAAATCAGTTTCAAGATTAAAGAATTTAAATCAAGTGAGTACAGATGATGGGCCAGTGTATAACAGGCTTCCATCTGGGATGAAAAGAAACATTTTTATAAAAGACAACATTAGACTATCTTTTTGTTAAAAGTAGACAAAACATGTAAATACACCATTTAAAAATCCATTTCATTTTATAATCTCCTGTTATTTAAATGAGGTAGATTAGAGATCCCATTAATATATTTGATTTTCTCAACAGTTATTGTATAAAATGACCTAAGTCCAAAACAACAAGGGCAGCAAGGTGGCATGGGAATTGGCATTAGGCATATACTCCTCCACAGAGCAAGGTCCTGTTTGAACCCTGAACATGATAAGAGCTTTAGAGAATAAATGGATGGATGCCAAAACTGAATTTACCCAGTTCCTTAGCAACATAGTAACATCATAACAACTTAGTTCTGTATTTCATCTGCAAAAAAGCCAAAAATTACCACAGTTACAGACAAGATCATTTTTTGATAGTTATATTTACAAGAAAATACAAGTACAGTCGGTGCCCAGTCTATTAACAGTGGGTGTTTAAAACTCAGTTAGACAGGAGCTCTTACTCTTATAACATCTTTGTTGAAAACCAGGTAAATGTACGTCAGTTCCTGTATTTCTTCTCCCTTAAAGGAAGAATTGGCACTGCAGTCTGGAATAAACATAAGACAAGACAAAACACAAGACAAGAACAATAAGTTACAATTTCCTAAGAAAAATACTGTTATGGGAAGTATGACAATGATGTTACAAATCCTCAGCAAATCGTGTGTGTGGCCCTTTAAGAATCCAATGGTCGATCCGTAAACTCGTTGCAGTCTGCTCCGTTCTTATTATCTCGCGATAACTTCACATCAGTGGCGGCTGTGTGGCCCCCTGTCTTAGTCCGGACGGAGTTGTTTCTGACGTTTGAATGAAAAACAGTGCAAATTACCTCCACTTTGGACCCAGGAAATAATGGCTTCAGCCTTGGAGCAGTTTGTGAACAATGTGCGGCAGCTCTCCGCTCAAGGTACGGTTGCTAAACTCATTCGAGTGGGAAGTATTAGCTAGTTAGCTAGCATATGCTATCCAATGCCTTGCCGATAGCTAGGCAGCCAAACTGGTCAGAGCCCTCTTTTTGCTTTATCATGTAAACACACCGCTAAAATGACTTTGTTTGGCTGCGAGAGTTCTGTAAAGTATCACCAGAAGATGCGTTAGTGCACATGGACGCCAAGGATAACCGCGAACCGGGCATGTTGTCAAAGAAAATGTCTAAATCCTACTTTTTGTTTTTGATCTAGAAAATAATTTCTGGGGATTGCCGACCGGTAGTCCCGCCCTGGCCCCACGTGATTGGCTGGCGAACTGAATTAGCGAATATTATTGGTTCAAAGTCATCTGTCAATCAAACCTGCATTACCTCTGTTGCAAGGCCTTGACAGGACACTTAACCGGGCGATTTATATTGAAATACTCAGCCACGGCACGATGATTATAAATGATTGTGTTAGTCAGTTTGTTTTCTACATTTGTAAAGAATAGGTACTTGGCATTCATAGGAACATTTTATTGTTAATTTAAACACTTAAACAATGATTACAATTCCTCAGCATACTTACGGGTGGAAAAGTATTGTCCCCTTCTCCTTTGTGGATTTTATTAACTTAACCTCATCATTTACAGTGACTGCAATAGGGGGAAGGTTATAATAATAATTTTAGTTTTGGTAACCAGTCCAGTTAGTGCATGTGTACTTCTTATTTGCCACAACATGTAATGAGAAATTTGATTACATATAATCCCAGTATAAAATCCTAATTTATTTACAAACCAACTGGCCTGCCTAAAAGCATCGATTTCTTAAATTTGGTCCGCATCTAGCATTGCGACGTAAGCTGTGTTAGATATGCGATGAACTAAGATCTAACGGGCATTCAAGAAGTGGTTTACTTTCTCTCTGTTCTCGTGCCTCCCTAACCCCTCCAGGCCAGATGACTCAGCTGTGCGAGTTGATCAACAAGAGTGGGGAGCTGCTGGCCAAAAATCTGTCCCACCTGGACACGGTGCTGGGGGCCTTGGACATCCAGGAGCACTCCCTGGGCGTGCTGGCTGTTCTGTAAGTAGCACGCTCCGTCCTCATTCTTCCCAGGTTTACCGCCTCCAGTGTAGTTAGCCCCCGTCAAGAACTCTTCCATGGTCTGTAGTGTCGCCTGTTGCTGTTTTTTTTTTTTTTTTTTCCGTCTGTTTGCTTTTGTGTTCACTTCTGTCCATTCTTGTGTTCCTCTATGCTCCTGCCTTCATTATTGTCCTAGCTTCTGCTCCACTTTTTTTCTGAACTGGGCCAAGAGATTCTGTTATTTGTTGTGTCTGCTGAAGGTCACATTGTACCTTTTCTGAGGATAGAGGGGTTCTAGGGTAGAGGTGGTGGAGCCTTTGAGGTAAAATAGTTGACAGGAAGAGAGTGGTGCACACATCTTAGATGCCAGCATATTGTTAGGTGAAAAACGTGAGTTGCGGGTTGGTTAAAAAACAATTTGCATAAGTGAGCTAGTATTTGCATGTTATGTAGAAAGTGCCATTTCGTACATCTCTGTATTATGTTATTTCATAATTAAAGGCTGCCTGTTGCATGAAGCATAACACATGTGGTATCATCACAAAGCAGCTAAAGGCTACCTGTTGAATGTGCAGCTAATAATTTGAATATGAACTACAACAACTAGCAAAGAAAGTGATCTATTTCTTATATTGTATAAAATAAAACCTTTTTTAAGATTATAACACCAAATGTTATAAATTCACTTCTGCACCTCAAATCTTGAAAATTAGTAAATTAAAGAGGGGTTTCTGTGGATTTAATTATACCTATGCACCCCTCTGCATATAGAAATGACCTTACAAACCATCCAATTTAGCATTTTCATCCCACGCAAAAGTTGTAATTTCCAGTTAAGCATTACAGTCTGTATCAGGGTCTCCTTGTTTTCACTGAAAGCTTTTTGCCAACCTTCTACTCTTTTGTTCCAGATTTGTGAAGTTCTCCATGCCAAACATCCCTGACTTTGAGACGCTCTTCTCCCAAGTTCAGCTCTTCATCAGTACCTGCAATGGGGAGCACATTAGATATGCAACAGACACTTGTAAGTCCAGACTAAGCAAACCTCTCACTCCTGGATGTTTAGGTAGCATGTTTTGTATCCTAATGGTTCTTTTAGGGTTGTTTTTTTAGGTTTTCAGCTGAACAAGAATATATTTCTACACTAATCAGTATTCTATTCCTTATTGTGTTGAAAGCATCTGCTCTGCTTAATACTGTTGTGCAAGTGCTTTACTCAGTTGTGGCCATATGTCAGACACTGGCTTTTCCCAGTGTCCACTGACAAACTCTAAAATGTTTTTTTAGTATCAACCAAAAGTAAGAATACAGTTACAATTTTATGGCAACTATAATGTTGATTGTAATGGTCAACTCTAATGGTGTGATTTAATGTATAATTAGTTTTCAGCAGTATCTGCTGCTGTAAATTGTCTTCCTTTTCTGCAAAGGTCTTAAAATTATTAAAGTTATTTGGCACAGTTGAACTTTGGAGCTTGATGGGAAAAAAATGGCAACATTGTATGTTTTTGCAGTTTATGTATGACATCCTGGACAGTGAAGTGTAGATGTATCTGGCAGTGTTTTACATTTAACTAACCACTAAAAGAGTGTCACCAGTTTTCAAGCACCTTCCTTCTCTTCTGTTTCCTCTCACAGTTGCTGGTCTCTGCCACCAGTTGACAAACGCCCTTGTAGAGCGGAAACAGGTAAGACTGATGATTCTGACATAGTCAAACGTCCAACTAGATATCATCACATAACTTTTAATTCAAAATATATATGTATGATTAAACTCTAAATGAATCTGTGGCCATCGTAGATGTTTGATGTTCGAGTTGAGGGCTATTTTTAAATGGCCAATTGAGTGTATCAGACTTAATTCTGCATATCTTTATGTGGCTACTCTATAGATTATACAATTTATAATGCTATTATGCTTGTGAAAAACAGTTGTTTCCATTCATGACTCACAGCAGCAGTAGTCTGCAGTGCTTATAAATGAAGACTGAATAGTTTAAATATCAGATGGGAACACAGAATGTAAATGAGGTTTAATTTATTTTTTGTTTAGCCATTTGCAGCTCGATCAGTCCATCTTTGGTTTGTGAGACATACACTTCTAGCTTCCATCAAAGACTACCTGCACCGGCAAATAGAGCGTGTTCATTAACAGAGCACTGTTTTAGTGATGTAGACAACCAGCTCCGAAAGTTATGGCCATGGACTCTTTTATCCCACCAACACTTCATCTTAATAATGTTTACCAGCCCAATTTCACTTACAGTATGCATGTACTGACACTTTCCCGTGTCGGCATACTCAAATATACTGACACACACCTTCTTAACAGCACTTGACACAGCGCGGCCACTATGCTTCATCACTCCCTGTGCACTAAAGCAGCAGAATCACTGACTCTCTGTCTGTGTTGTCTAGTAGAGCCAACAAATAAATGTTCTTCTTCCCTCCTGAATAAGAGTGTTCTGTGTATTGTGTGATGTTTCTGAGAGTTCCATGATGTTCTCATTTCTGTGAAGTGTCCTTGTCGACTTTCCCATTATGTGTGTATGATGTTTTAAAGGACACTGTGCACTGTCTTGACAGTGTAGCTTGCGAGTGGGTGTTTTTAATGTTGCATGTACTTTGCTATAAAATCAGTTTACCCTTGGTGATAGTGAAATTAGTACATTTGAATCTTATTTTTTAACAAGAATGAGTCATCCTATTACTAGTACCTCACCGAGTTTCAGCATCCAAGAGTAGCGTGTTTTTCTTTTTTCTTTCTTGATCTAAATATTTTAATGCATTTTAAAGTGCAGTACAGGCCTGGGCCGTTTTCACCATGTTTGGAGGTCTCAGAAAAGCTGCAGCTGAATAACTGTGTTTTTTCCTTCTCTGGCAGCCATTGAGGGGTGTTGTCGTCCTAAAACAGGCAATAGACAAAATGCAGATGAACACAAACCAACTTACCTCAGTTCATGCAGACCTGTGTCAGGTGAGTCACTGGCCCCTGCTGCAT